GAGTAGAATCGTCCTGGAGAACGGACGGGGATTAAATAGATTTGGCAGCGTTGGCGCGAGGACAATTGAAGAATTGGAATAAGTCACGATTAACGCGTGCGAGCGTGTTGGGACACGCTGAACGACTACGTAAATTGTAGCCCGATCCGATGCGTAACGAACCGATGTACCCAGCCTCGGACCTGTTCGAAATGGTGTACGCACACGTCCCGCGCGTGTAATTAGGGAACATACGTGCTTCGCTTGACAGTTCGTTGTATTCGACCAAGTGTTTTCATGCCGATTCGCAAGGGAGGCTCCAATTCAAGCCGACCCTACAGAGCAGCCTCCCTCTCTCTCTCTCTCTCTCTCTCTCTCTTTCTTTCTATCTCTCGCTCGCTCGTTTGCATAATCAATTGATCGAAATCAATTTTTCAAGGAACCTTCCGCGCAAAAATTACGACAGGCCCGTCCTCCCGAGCATCTGGTTCACTCGTCGGACAGTTTGTATTCTTCCCTTTACAGTATTACACTCGAATCACCCCTCATTTTCAACCCTTGTGTCGATATCAAAAAGTTTCTGCAGCATACGCGAACATTGTGGAGAAATTTCAATATTTCAGCGGATATTTCTATGCAAATTAAAATTCATAGTTATCTAAGAAGGTAGGAGTCCAGCGATTTTTCTTCTCGTCGAGAGGAACGTTTAACTTTAAAAACAAATTGAAAGTAGTTTTTTTATAATTAGTGTTAAATTGACACAGTGCAGGGTTCAATATATTTTGTTCGAATAACGAATAACATTTGATGTGTAGAATTTATTCGAGATACTATTCGAAACAAATTTTATTCGAAATACTATTCGAATCAAATTTTATTCGAAACATTAATCGAATAGAATTTTATTCGACTGTGACTTATTCTGAGTGAATAAGTCGAGTGACTTATTCGAAGTGATATTCGAGTACAATTTTCTTCAAAGAACAATTATTCCTTATTGTGAATAACTTCTCGATTTGTACAATTATTCAGATCCAATGTTATTCGTTATTGAAAGCAGCTCAGGAAGTACAGTCGACACTTCTGTAACGTCAAAGGTTTCTTTTCTTAACGATTATACAAAGAGAGAAAATAGATTAGGAAAATATGAAAGATGTGAAACGCTGTAAATCACACTCTGTGATAGGTGAAATTCAGTGAAAATGTGGTAAGTTGTTATACGATGAAATGTAACCGGCAATGTAATAAACGTTAATGAATTTGTGTGAACATCTTATCTTTCTGGATGAACGAATTAAGTATATATTTTGCGGACTAGAAAGGAGAGGTATCACTCTAAGAAAATAAGGTAAAACTGGGTCGACAGCGTAGAATTCTTCGATTCCTGCTTTTCGATTGAACTTGCTGAGAAACTTTCGCTGAAACTTGTAATCGTGTCTGGTTAACGGGTTTCCAATAATGCGGTGAGGCTTTCGCATTAGGAAATTGGCAAGTTTTAAGGGTGTCTGGATAACTTGTAAAAATTCCATGGCATCCAACTTCGCGGAAGGTCCAGGAAAAATAAGGATCGCTGATTATCTGATCTGACCCTTTAATTATTAAGTTTCAAATACTCAGGGTATATTTAAATTGTCACCTAATTACACAATAATTTTTAACAATGAGATAAAATAAATTGCTGTCACTATTTCACTCTTAAAATATGTTGTGCTGTTAAATTTACATTTAATAATTAATTAAATTAGTAAATAAATATCATATAATTTATAATATAATTATAATATAATATATAATATAATTATTATATTACATAATATTATTAAATATTATTTTATTATTATTTATAATATTATTTATTATTATATTATTATATTATTAATATCATTAAATACATCATATATCAATTAAATTAAAAATTAAATACATTTCCAAAAATGCGTTTTGGAAAACAGACGAATAAATTTGAGAATAGTTAGAAGTATTGCCAATTGTATATTCGCGAAAGTAATCGACAGCGCATTCGACAATAAATCGGCCGGGGACAATTATAAACAGTAAACCGTAAAAGCAGATAACCAATTTTTCAGGCAATTATACTCGAAACTGTTCACGTTAATTTACGAACACGTTCGGCAGGTTCTCGAACGTTAATGAATGCAAATGAGGTGTCGTTAAGAGATAAGAGATTCAAAGAATTCGTGGTGTTCGGCGTGCGCAGATTTCTTCACCGCAGCACCGTGTAATATTTCGTTCGATCAGTCATCGCAAAAAAATGTAGATGTTTTGCATCAACTTACAGACTCCATTAGATTCGAAATACGGCCAAGAGGAGACAGTGACAACCGGTTGAGACGTTTGTACGACCTTCATTCCGGCCTTTACCACATTCCAGCGAGAGCCGATGAATTCCAGTCCTCCTTTCGACGTGACCCCATAAACTTGAGAGGACATCTCCGGTCAATGGAGCGTGGAGAACTTAAATATAAGTGACGCTCGATTTATGACAATCAAATCGTCCGGGAACACGGATGTGCACCGAGCGTCAGTTAATCTGCTCCTGAGTAAATTCGAAATGTGTGCTAACAGAAAAATAATTCTTAAGATAAACGAGCCTAATCAAGTGTAAATTCAAGTGTAAATACATAGTGGAGCTAGTCGTTTTCGAAGATATACTGAAAAGTGATTCCGCTTTCCAACAGAACAGGAAAACAATTATACTTTTGCTTGCAGAGTACAGAACAGTTTTTCCTCCTTGTCTTGTGAACTGATAGCAATAAATAATGCTTTAATATATGCTCTTCTGCAACTCAAATTTCACTATTTTCACGGACTCCAATGGTTCACTCGAAGCTTTTAGTAATCGATCACATCATTCATCTATTCAATTCATTCAAAAAGTTATTACAGATCTCAACAGAAACAAAGAAAATATTAAATTTCTATGAATTCCCAGTCACATTGGACTTGGAACAAGATTAAATCGAACACACGTTAATCCTTTGCAATAGAAGAATTTTCTTGAGCCACCTATCAACTAAAATTTGAAATAAAATTTCAAATAAAATATGAAATGATACGATGTTCGAAGTAACTACTTTATTTACAAAGAATTTGGTTAAAAATTCTACCGATACCGACCATACTAAAGTAAAAATTACTAATTTCAGGAGTGCCATAATATTAATACAAAAATCGCAGAGAATCCAAGTAAATTCAGCGTTGCAATTTTAACACGTTCCGTGCCACGTGTACCATCGATGGTACACGCTTGCATGTTTACTTAGTGAACTGAACAAATTATTTACAAGAAATTTAGAACCGAAGAATCAATTTCCACCGCAAGAATGGGCGTTGATAAGTTTTTGTTACGTTGTTATGTGTACGAGAATTAATAATTGCACGTAATACATCAAGTTTTAGTAAAATATCAAAGTNATGAATTCCAGTCCTCCTTTCGACGTGACCCCATAAACTTGAGAGGACATCTCCGGTCAATGGAGCGTGGAGAACTTAAATATAAGTGACGCTCGATTTATGACAATCAAATCGTCCGGGAACACGGATGTGCACCGAGCGTCAGTTAATCTGCTCCTGAGTAAATTCGAAATGTGTGCTAACAGAAAAATAATTCTTAAGATAAACGAGCCTAATCAAGTGTAAATTCAAGTGTAAATACATAGTGGAGCTAGTCGTTTTCGAAGATATACTGAAAAGTGATTCCGCTTTCCAACAGAACAGGAAAACAATTATACTTTTGCTTGCAGAGTACAGAACAGTTTTTCCTCCTTGTCTTGTGAACTGATAGCAATAAATAATGCTTTAATATATGCTCTTCTGCAACTCAAATTTCACTATTTTCACGGACTCCAATGGTTCACTCGAAGCTTTTAGTAATCGATCACATCATTCATCTATTCAATTCATTCAAAAAGTTATTACAGATCTCAACAGAAACAAAGAAAATATTAAATTTCTATGAATTCCCAGTCACATTGGACTTGGAACAAGATTAAATCGAACACACGTTAATCCTTTGCAATAGAAGAATTTTCTTGAGCCACCTATCAACTAAAATTTGAAATAAAATTTCAAATAAAATATGAAATGATACGATGTTCGAAGTAACTACTTTATTTACAAAGAATTTGGTTAAAAATTCTACCGATACCGACCATACTAAAGTAAAAATTACTAATTTCAGGAGTGCCATAATATTAATACAAAAATCGCAGAGAATCCAAGTAAATTCAGCGTTGCAATTTTAACACGTTCCGTGCCACGTGTACCATCGATGGTACACGCTTGCATGTTTACTTAGTGAACTGAACAAATTATTTACAAGAAATTTAGAACCGAAGAATCAATTTCCACCGCAAGAATGGGCGTTGATAAGTTTTTGTTACGTTGTTATGTGTACGAGAATTAATAATTGCACGTAATACATCAAGTTTTAGTAAAATATCAAAGTGTGAAGATTCGAGTAAAAAAAGCTCGGCACGGAACGTGTTAATAAGACAGCATACTACTTTCAATAAAAGTGTCCTTAAACAAAAATTATGACTTTTTCAAAAAATGGATCTCACATTAGGCACCTTTATCCTAAATATGTGTTTGCACCGAGCAACTGATTTTCGAGGAAAAGCGGACTTACATTGATTAGGTCCTAAACCGTCCAAATGCTCATTCACCGGAGGATATTCATTCATTGTCTACATGTCACGATACGATCGCCTGGTGTCATCCTCGTCGAAATTACCTTATCCGAACGCCAGCCAGCGCCTGGTTCGATAGCTAATGGATCACGCTCGCAGTCTGCTGGCGGTAGAACAATCGAGGATACCACTCACATTCGAGTCAAACGGCAGCGTCGACGCAGTAATTGACAGAGCGAAGGAGCGTGTTGACTACAGGACGTCGTTGGCACGATTATTTCGCGGGCCCGTAAAGTAGCATGTTCTGCAACGTGGTCGCATGAGTCCTGACGATCTCGCACGAGCTCGATCCCGAGGCCGGTTCGGCAGAGCTCGGCTGGCTCGCCGCGGCTTCACCACTCGGAACAGGCTCAGTCGCTTCGCGCGCGTCGTACCGCATGTGCACTCTCTGTCCGTGGTCGTGCCGATCGTGAGAAAACAGCGACTCCCGCGATCGTTTCGTGCGGCGATTGTTTATTAAACTTCTCTTGTTCGACAGTGAATTGCGCGAGGTTTTCCACGGCGGGCGTGCTTCACTGATTGGTGCTCCGTAATTTCATCGAGTTTCGGGAGTTTTCTCGCGAACCATCCGGCTCGGCCCACCGGCTCAGGTGAGTACAGAAAGCGCGTGATTTCTATTCTCAAATGTGCTGCATCGGGCAACAATATAGGACACATTCGTATGATTTGTACACTTGAAACAAGGACATGTAGATTTTACATGTTCTACGCGCTACTTACAATCTGCGTACAAAAACGTAAATTCGTTTCATGAATAAGAAGGAATAAAAAAAAAATGTAGTTCTGCTGCGACTTTAGTTGGACGAAAGTATACATATGTACAAAGATAATATCGTCGTATAATTTAATGCAATACATTCGAATATGTCGCAAAATCTTCTTCAAGCTGTATGACATTCAGCAACTATTTTCTTATTGTCCTGTAGAATTTTTTTTATCTACTTTTTGGTTTTTTATTCGAGTGCTATTTAATTCTCTACAGCATTATTATCAACGCGCATAAGTGCGTGATACAAATGGAGTATACGATTAAATTGAGATTATATAAAGGCAATATTCAGTAGCGAATTTTAATTCCAAACATTTTCTGTTTAAAAATTCTCATCCGTTAAGGGTCGAAATGTCCCGTTTCATATTGTTTGTCTTAAAGTTGCTGAAATTATAAAGACTCTGTCATGGAAAAATGAACTTCTTTACCCAAGCACAGATTATTATAGAAGTGGCGAAAGATTTAAATAAATACAGTCTTCTGGTCGTTATTGCGCAACACCCGTTAGATACTATCAGGGGCAATTTTTGTCGCGGCTGATCCTAATATAGGTGTGAAGATTAAAGTCTGCTCTTTACAATGAGTCTTTGAACTTTGAAATACGATTTTTTCCAGCCATTTTATCGAGCTTTGCATGAAAGGCCACTTTACCGTAACACGTACAAGGTGCACAAGGGCTTTAGGCGACCGAACTTATCCCTCGTTTTTATTCCTTGGGACGTGTAAAAATAATCGTTCACCAAGTTCTGAGGCGTCGTTGCAAAGAGCAAGCTTCAATCTTCAAATCTATGGTACACTCGTCCAAGGAAAAAAAACTCGTGAACTGTTTTGGAGACATTTGAATTTGTAGCATTTTTTAGTAAACCTACATCTTCCATTTTTAATTCGTCTAAATTTTCGGCATGATTTATCCTGTGAAAGCATGATAGGAAAAATGAAAAATGGACTGTGAACGTAGAAGCTTCAAAGTTTAAAACGGGTCCAAGTTCATTGGTGTATAATTTTCCCTGAGGGATTTATGATAGTGCAAATATCGACGATTTGGCAAAAATTGATAATTTAGTGCACGAATATATTTTGCAGACACTGTATATGAATGTGTAGATTTGACTGGTTTTCTGCTTTCGTGCTCGGAAGGATTTGAACGCTTGAATTTTTAACGAGCGACTACGAGTCGTTATGAGTTATGGCAGACCTGTTGTCTACACGTTTATGTAATCCCGATAGTGTTCGATTATGTAAATTATTGCTGTTTGGACTCGTCTGTGAGAACTGGAATAGCGAGAACATTTTGTTTTCTTACGGGGATTTAATTAACGATAGATCATTTACTAAAATTTTATTAGTTTCTATACTTGTTCGTACAATTTTACTGATTCCAATACTTGTTAGTCCAATTTTTGTTGTTTCTAATGTCTTTTAATCTATCTACTGCATTTTATGTCTCATGTGTAATTCGTTTTAATTATGTATTTAATACGACACCTAGATGGTAGCAACGTGTTACGTGTTGTCCAATATTGTCGTCATTTTCAATTAATGACAAACCTTTAACGACAGTGACGTTGTGTTTCCATTAATTGGTTGCGTAATTTTGGTAGCAATGATGTCACTGGCTAATTAAAAAAAGTAATCGAAATTCACGTGCAGTGACACACACACATACACGCAAACGCACACGCACACATACATGCACACACACACACAATATGTAGAGATGTCTACAAAAGGTTAATTAATTACGATGCTTATTCTGCACAATAAATTGTTTACGTCTACTACGTATTTTTCTTTGCAAATGGAAATTTTTTCAAACGCCATACACTGAAATGCGATAATCTTTTATTATGTATATGACACCCTAAGTCTAGCATCATTTTTTATTAGACTATTATTTCTTATTGGATTGGGTCGAGTATGTAAAAGGCGGAGAACGGAGTTAGTTGTAATGCATACTAAAAAATGGTCAAAATTAGGGCTGTTTCTGCTTTGATGGATATTTATTAGTATCTAATACCCGATTTCAAAAGATATGAATTTCTATCTCACTTGAAATGAAACATTTGATTTATTCCTATTTTACATGCAATTATAAGAACTTTAGTATACTACTTTACTACTAAAAATGATCAAAATTAGGGCTGTCTCTGCTTTGATGAATATTTATTAATATCTAATACCCGATTTCAAAAGATATGAATTTCTATCTCACTTGAAATGAAACATTTGATTTATTCCTATTTTACATGCAATTATAAGAACTTTAGTATACTACTTTACTACTAAAAATGATCAAAATTAGGGCTGTCTCTGCTTTGATGAATATTTATTAATATCTAATACCCGATTTCAAAAGATATGAATTTCTATCTCACTTGAAATGAAACATTTGATTTATTCCTATTTTACATGCAATTATAAGAACTTTAGTACACCGCGTTATTATTTAAATTCTGTAATAACATTCTATAATAAAGTTCCTTTAGTTCTTCTTTGTTAACCACAAAGATCTCCGCTTTTCTCGAAGCGATCTCTGATTGTGAGTCACGTGGCACAGAATTCCATTTATGTACTATTCCAATTCCTGAACTATGTGCGTTCTAAACATTTTCTGTCGCGCCTTGACCCAGAATGTTGCTCCCCATTTTTCTTCAGCTGTCTAAAAAGAGACGAACAAATCTGTATAGAGAAAGTAACGAACGAATAGAATCTACATTAAAATGAAATCTCTTATTTGCAATTATTTAAATTCCAGAAGAACTATTCTCGTCAAAAGTTCGTTACGTCTCTGCGTTGGTAAAAACGGAACACGTGAAATAATATTTCCCTTGATAAAGAGCATTGCAAAAATAAGGTGGCTTTATTTTTCTGGCTCGGTCTACGATAAAGAAAGCAACACGATCGCTGATGACAATGCGTTGTAGTTGAAGCAGGTATATTCATCTTTCGCGTTTAACCACGTATTATGGTCTAAATGCGAGTTCGGTTTTTCACGCTAGGATGGCGCGGGCCATGAATTATTTGTCACTTCGTTGGGACATAAATTCTGTTTTGGAGCTGACGTTTGGTACCGTTCAATATGCGTTCGGTCACTGAGTTTCTGCCACCTCCCCCTCCCCCTACCAATAATACGAGAGCTCTGCGACGCGTTCGACAAAAAAAAAATATATGTGTATAAAACGTCCACTTGTTTTACACGTCATATCAATATTAAAAATTACCCAAGCATTTTGATAAGGATTAAGAATTTGATATCGGTATTAATCAATTCTGTATGAAACATTGAACAGAGTGTTTTCGTGTTTGCGATACATGTAAATATTTGAAATGTCTGCCTTTATATTTTCCTCCAATTTCTTTGCTTTTGTTACGTTCCATTATGTTCAATTTTGATGTGCTATTTACGCGCAGCCGTCGAATTGTTTTTCAATGTGCCCGGAGGAAAACGATTTATTTTCGATGCGAACGTTGGAAAGTAAAAATCGAGAATACGAAATTTTTAATAACGGTAATCAATATTTTTTTAATAAATGCCGGTTGATTTTTCCGTCGTCTGCAGGTTTTGGTGTCGGTATATGAAAGCTGTGAACACGACCACGATATTTTTATAGTTACGGTTTTGCACGTTTTACGATTTCTCATTATTATGGCTACCTTTAGGCGGACTACCCTGTATATACATGCGTAAATAGACATAAATTTTCCATATTTTATGGACGATAATGAACTTGTTGGTTCAACCTGGACAGGTTGTAAAGTCTTAACGAGATTTCGTGGACTTGTGCAGCAAATACTAATTAGTTGGACAGTTAGCACATATAAAATTTGCCATTGCGATTGCTATTATCATCGCGATGAATTTCTGTTTTCAATTTATTCACACTTTTTAATTAATAGTCTGTATTTCGAATATAAGGTCCTATATATGAACTCGGTGTTAAATTTATTATTCAATGTGACATGTTTATAGGGTATAAGTGATATTATATATATATATATATATTATAATATATTATTATATATTATAATTATATATTATTATATAAGTGAAAAACTGCTGTTTTCACGAACTTCAAATTATACCAAATTATACCAACGTTCATCGATTTCAATGAAATTTTCAAAATATAAATTTTCGATATCTACAAAAAATTAATCTCTCTTAGAAATTACAATAAGATGTTGTTCCATTTCAAGTATATCGAGTACGACATGACATTTATTCCTATTCAACTATGCGTAAAACAACAAACCTTGAATTTCGTGTAATTAGACGAACATTCATCGGGGTCAGGGATTTCAGTAACCGATCGCGCCGTTGTGTCCACGCGAATCAGTGTTGTCTACAGTTGAGTGATGTATTAAAGTCCTAACGAGGAATACGTATCTGAGAGTAACTTGGTAAATCTCGCGTTTACGGACGACGGAACTTCGAAAAGTTTTCACTCCGGCTTTCTCTCTTTTCAACTCCGTCTTTCTTTCTCTCTCTCTCTCTCTCTCTCACTCTCAGCATGTACCGAAAGTAAATGTTTAGTTTTCATCTTTCTTCGTGTCCTGGGAGAAAACACGGGACACGTAAGTTAGCCGGAATGATTGATAGCCGGAGATAAAAGGAGAACAACCGAGTGGATTTCCGCGGGAACTTTCCGTGTTTCCGTGCTAATCGAAAAGAGCTTCTTATCGGGGAGAGCGCAGAAGCCGAAACTCAATTTCTATCTACTCAGAATGCGAGCCAGAGATACCGGGCTGCCTACTTTTTGCTCCCGATGTATCCCGCGGAACGAACTTCACGGATACTTCGAATTAAATGGAACAAAGAAC